ACTAAATAAAGCCTTTTGGGAATCAGACATTAGGTATTTTGACAACCCAAATAAATTCCTGAACTGTGAAGAGTGATATTATAGAAAGTATTCATAACAAGGAGAAGAAAAATAGAGGGACAAAATGAAACAATTATAATCGAAACAAAGAAATAAAAAAGCTGAAAAATAAAACGGCATCATAATCTTGTCTCATATCGCATTGTTATTTTAAAGCCCCACTGTACTACTTTTAGCTACTTGCTTCCTCTATATAGAAAACTTCCCCAATCGGTGCCTGTTGGTCCCCCATGATCCTCTTTTTCTTATGTTAGTTGAGAGCTGAGTTAATGAGATAGCCACCTGTCAGTGACCTCGCTGTGTGGTCTAATCCCTTCTGGCCCAGTAGTATTGACAGTCTTTAAAACGTAGTTGCAACCAGTGACGTTTTCAAGGGGGTTAGAGGGACAGAGGACACGCCCCCTTCCGACAAAAGAAAGTGCTATAAAATGGAATAGAATAGGAGTTACAGGGGATGTGAACATAATCGTATAAGGGGCATTTTTCTTTGTTTTTAGTTAAAATTGTTCCTCTCTTTTAATTTCCTTTTCTTTAATTGCAAGATCAAAATAGTAAAGACTAAACAAATCTCCGTCATGGTCGGTGGGTGGGGAGGGGCTGCATTCCATTGACCATGTGTCTCAGCTATTCCCAATAATATATCTGGTATATAGCGATGGGGGGGGGGGGGGGGGGGGGGGGGGCTGTATCAGTTTGAACATGTGTTTCATCTATACACAATAATCTACTGGCATGTAGTGCATGTAGAGAGGAAACAATTAAGAGAGGGAATAAATTGTTCGATCGATTTTGACTGAACTAATAGTCTCCGATCTCATTATCATCGCATTTAAGTTCCGCGTAGGTTAATTATCCAAACTGCCTCGCATTACCACTCGAAAGATAATATTGATGGAGAACTACTCAAACATCCCATTTATAGTACCTTCGGTTGGGATTGGCTCATCGGCGAGCCCATTGTTACGTAATTATTTTGTGACGTCATGGATGCAGAGCAAATAGCAATGTTGCTATGAGAGATGTTTCTCGATATCGACCAAAGTAAGCAAAGACGGCTAGTTGTAAGAAATGTGGAACACATAATGTTCAGCCATTTATTTTTCACGATCGGGTAAAGGTTATATTTGCACGTTTGACTACAGTAATCATGACTTCGATCCTTCCAATACGGTGATACACATATCATTCACTAATGGGAATTGTCTAAACACGGATACTGCTGTGTCTTGGCTTGGTATTGATATTTGACGAAATTCAGCGCTCGACTAAAACATATTTGATGAACATTCTCTCCTTTCATGTTGAGAAAACCAGAGAGAAAATTTTCTCTTTTATGCAACGTGTCAACCCCAACTTTTTCATTATACATTTGTGCCGAAAACATGATGACTGTGTTAAAAAATAAGTTGCGTTGATGCAAATCTAATCAAGTCTTTCTTTGTTTGTTTTGGAGACGGTGCCGTTTTGCATGGATTAATAGGCTGGATGATGCTCATCAATTAAGCATTTAGCGTCACCTGTGTCTGGGAGAGGAAAAGCTAGGGTACTGAATCACTGTGACACTCGATAAGTTCTCTCCTCCCTATATAACGTATTGTGGATGTGCTGGTGGTAGTGTTGGACCCTCTTCACCCTGGGTTACCCCCTATCGTGCAGTGGGGTTTTAAAGTGCAAAAGTGACGACATTATTATACACGGAGCCTACGTTTAATGTCCTATCCGAGGGACGGATAGCATTGCCTGCGTCTAAGAATCAAGAGAGGAGCACGTTAACACACAACGTAGACTTCAAGTTCAGTCATCCACCTGGGTTGGATTTGTACCCTCAATCTTAATTTGGTTCGACAGGCAGACGCTTTTACCGTTCGTGCTGTTTTTGTTGTGTCGTCTAAAAGTTTTTTTCAAAAATTATTCGGATACATCGTTCTTCTGTTTTGTAGTGCTATGCACGGATCGATTGAATTATCAAATCAAATCTACACAACACTGTAATAGTCTGTCGGAAAAGCTTATTTGGAATAAATCACTTATGTTTCCGGTAAGTATAGCTTTAACCCTTCAAGGGATAATAATCCCGGCCCCCCACTCAGGGGTCGGAATGACCGCATGCGTGTTGCCAAAATGTCCGGTAAAGAGGTACTTTTCGTGCGACAAAGTCCGGCCCGAGAATTGTAAAAAAAGGGGTGTATTTGACTTTTCACCCGGAGATTTCTTTAAAAAGGGGGCGTTTTTTCGTTTTTTCTCTCATCTCTTTGGACTCCTGAGAAATGATTCCGAATTTAGGGGGGGGGTATATTGAGCATTTTTCCTGATTCAGGGGGGTCTCCAAGGCAGGAAAAGCCCGCGAAAAGCCCGCGAAAGGGGGGTTCGGAAATGTTGGCAGTCCTCAGATAGGGGGTGCTTTCAAAAAGAGGGAACGAGCATATGCGTACCCTAAATAACACTGAGTGGGGGCCGGGATAATAATCAAATCGAAACCACCACTTTTTCTTGTTCTTGTTCTTGTTCTTCCTCTTCTTCTTCTTCTTCTTCCTCTTGTTCTTGTTCTTGTTCTTCCTCTTCTTCTTCTTCTTCTTCTTCTTCTTCTTCTTCTCTCTCTCCTTCTCCTTCTCCTCCTTCTTCTTCTTATTCTTCGTATTCTTCTTTTTTCTTCGTCTGCATCTTCTTCTTCTTTTTTTCCTTCTTCTTGTTCTTCTTCTTCGTCTTCATCTTCGTTTTCTTTTTTAAATATATATATTATCGTACTAAACCTGATTCATTGGATAGAATTAAAATAGTAAATCAAATTTTTAAATCAGTAATAAGCAAACACGATATATAATATATACTTTTTTCAACTCAGGAACGCCAGGCAAATTTTAGGCATTCGAATTCCAAATATTTGTGTTTGTTTCTCCTGAAGGCTCATACTTCCGAACTTCCCAGACCGGGGGAGGGACTACTCCTAAAATGTAACAGCTATAGGGTTCATAAATCCGAACATTAGGCATTTTAGGCACTTAAAATGCTGAAAGACCAAACTAACATTCTGTCCCCTATGCCCATGTCCCCTTTGAGAACAACGTTGCATACATGATGTATAATACACAATTCCAAGAAAGTTACCCCCCTTCCCTTCCAGGTGATGTTTTAATATTATTACTATTATTTTATCTTTCATTCTATTTTTCACTCGTGTAATATTTGTCAGTAGATTTCTTTGTCAAAGAAGGAAGGAAAGCTTTATACCTTTATTTGTCTGGACAAAATATTTGAACAATGCGCTAATTTTATGGGCCGTTTATACATCTATTAAAGGTACTATGTCCCATTTGCAGGCCAAAAAATGAAAAAGTTAAATTCCAACTGCATTTGAAAGATAATACAAATTTAGAACTTCCCTAAAAAAGGTGGGGCTTGAAAATGTCTTCAAGTGGGGAAAAAACGACTATTAGTTGTCAAATCGACTTTAGGGCTATAGAGCCCAAAAGTAATAGTCTTGATTTTCAGACAATTGTACCGAATGGTCATACGTTTTATGTTGCGCAAAGATTCAATCAGTTTAATCTTGGCCATCACAAGAAGTGGGTTATTGATGTAGACAAATGCTCATGTACCCTTTACAACTCTTTTCATGTATGTTATTACCAAAGAAGAAAAAAAGGCCGGTCAGTCACTCAATAGTGTCTGGCAGTGAAGTCTAGCAAGTAAACGGGTTTCCTTGCATAATTTGAATATGAGGACACTGCTAACGTTTAAATTTCACAGATAGGACATACATGACATATTCATAATTCCTGCAAAGTTCTACAGAATTTGAGGTTGGCTGCAAAAGGGACATATACATGTACCTTTAAGTTCACCCTGTCAATAATGTTTAATTTGGTTCTAAAATACATATGTCTGAAAAGCAGATAGTATCAGCAATGTGCCCTGACTGACGTGAACCTTCACTAAATAAATGACAAAAGTTCATGTACAAGGTGAAGTAATTAAACTCAATGGTGGAGTAGCGGGGAAAGAGGGGGAGAGGAATTATGGGGATCGGTACCCCATTCTCTCCTATAGTCAGAGATTTTTAGGAGCTCTATAGGCACCAATGTCTGCTCTTTTCAGACTGATCACGTTTTACTTTCTTTCTCCGATTGCTTTATCTTTATAAAAATAATAGAAAATCGTCATAAAAATCTAGGCCTACTTCATACGACGTCAAAATAAGATACTAGGGCATTATGTTACTCAGGTTTGATGTAGAACTTTAACCCCCTCCTCCAATACATACATACTCATGTTGGCACGTGACACCAGGAATGGTGATACAAAGTAGGAGAGGGAGGGGGGGGGGGGATATACCTTGGCATGAGAACCACGGGTAGGCCTATAATGTATTTATAATACGGATATCGTATTTTTTAAATCATTTATCTAAGCAATAATACAAATACTTGCAATATCAAACGTCAACAATGTTATGACAATTATGTTCATTTCTATTTTTTATATTCGTTTATTGTCTTAATGACTCTTTAAAAGCACATGTATGCAATTTATAATTTATATTTTTTGATGTACATGCACTTTAACAACTTCCTCTTTTACTTCTTTTCTTCATGTTTCTCTCCGTTGTTCTGACTTCATGTTATCTTCTTTTTTATTATTTGTTTGATGCCCAAGCAATCTTAGATATCAACTATATATATTTCAATATTTAAAAAATAAATTGTAACTGTATTTTATGTTTGAAATATGCAATGAGTCTTTTAACTGTACACATAATTCATCATGACCAATTCAGCCATTGGACTGCGACACATGTTTTTAATAAACCTTGGATTGAATCGAATTGAATTAAATAATTATTTGAATGATTATGGTATTGCTTTTGACGATTTCGATCTGCATTAATCCATAATGTTTAACATCCTACTTCACAGATTAATTGACGGCCGGCTAACACAACTATGGAGAGCCCTCCAACCTATCAACAACCCATGGGCGAAAGGCCTACTTATGTATCTCTGCTAGATGAAGGGACTGCGAGCTACGATCAAACGACGTCATCATCAAACACGACGTGGCATGACGTCACAGATCATCAACCGTCGATCGCCTGGTTGATCACCGTACCTCTTGTCGTGGGGAGTATAACGATCGTCACCGTTATCGGCAACGCGTTGGTGATGGTGGCTTACAACAAGGACAAGCGCATCCACGGTCGCGTCGCCAGCTTGCTCATCTTAAATCTCGCCATTTCTGATTTCATCATCGGTTTGGTCGTGCTCAGCATCAATCTGGCCTGGATTACGTGGAACGAGTGGCTAGGTGGGGAGTTCTGGCTTCTTGGGGAGGTCTTCTGTAAACTATGGCTCGTGATCGACAACACAGCCAGCATGTTGTCTGTCTTCACCATTATCCTCATCAGCCTGGATCGATACTGGCTGCTCACCAAAAAAATGCACTATCAGAGCTTCCAAACACGAAAACGTGTCTTGGTGACGATCTCCCTACTGTGGTTGTCAACTGCTTCTGTTTATACTCTTATTGCAGTGGGTTGGCCGTACTTTACCGGTGAACGTAGTGTTGATTATGGTCATGAATGTGAGCTCGATATGGCGTATAATGTGTATGCTACCATCGTCGCGTTGGTTTGTGAGTTCCTCATACCGCTCACGGTCATCATCGCTCTCAACAGCGCCGTGTACGTCAAAATTAGGAACCGCGCCAAGGGTCTCAAAGAAATGGGGCCAAGAAAAGTTTGTCGATCCGAACGAGTAGAACTTAAAGCAGTTTCGATGGAATCCAACCGCACATCGCCTCCTGTTTTATCCGAGGTTTCTTTGTCCGATGTCAATGTAATTTTCCCACCCCCTCCTCATCTCTATGAGCAGGCCGAACCAGTCCTCGAATCATCTTGTGTCAACTGTATCAACAACGTCGACGACCACCAGACGATCGCGATGCATCTTGACAACGAAACTGGGCGAAAAACTACGAACGCTACTGCAGAAGCGCACAAAAGCAAGCGGGAGTATGCGCGTCATTTGCGCGCGGCAATAGTTTTGGCTGTTCTAGTGACAGTGTTCATAGCGTGCTGGCTCCCGTATCAAATTGTAAACGTCATCAATGCAATATGTGACGAGTGTGTATCAGATCTTGTCTGGGAAATCGTTAATAATATCCTCTGGTGTAATTCCTTCGTTAACCCTTTCTTGTATGCCGCAACTAACGTTCACTTCAGGAGGAATTTTATCATTTTGCTTGGACTCCACAGGTTTCGATGTTTCAGGAGCACGATGCATGCGGCAGCTCGACCCAGCTCAACAGCTGATCGAATCAGACCCAGATTTCGTCGTCATCAGCAACAATAGTTCAATCAGCTCCTCGTAGATATATATTCCTGATTTGAAATGACGATAATATGTGATATTAAAGATACTAAGTCCCTTTTGTCCAATCTGTGAAATTTAAACATTAGCAGTGTCCTGGTATTCAAATTATGCAATGAAGGAAACCTATTTACTTTCTAGACTTCCCTGTTGAACACTATATTGAGTTACTTGGTAAATATTCACATGAGCTGTAACAGGAAAATGAGCATTTGCCTACATCAATAACCCACTATACTTGTAATGGCCCAAAGTAAACTGATTGAATCTTCGTGCAGCACAAAATGTACGACCATACGGTACAAGGGTCTGACAATCAGATTATTATTTAGGTAATTGCAATCAATTATGTCGATTCGACAACTGATGGTCGAAATTTTCCCACAAAAAGCCATTTTCAAACCCTTTCGTTTTGAGGGAAGTTCTAAATAAGTATTGTCCTTCAAATGCCGTTGGATTTTAACTTTTTCTTTTTCTGTAAAACCTGCAAATGGGGTATGGTACCTTTAAAGGTTCCATGTCCCATTTACAGGCCCCAACAATGAAAGATCAAAGGTTAACATCAAAAGCATAACGTTTATACAGAACACTTAAAATAAAATTCCATAGTACATTCAGAAAGATATAACACAGCAATAATAGACGTCTCACAAACGAATACTCGTTTGCAAAATAATCATATATCATTAACCTAGTTCAACTGTATTGCCAATAGGAAAACATTGATTAATTCTCAATTATGTGAATAAATCATGACAATATTACAGATAATACACGTAATGTATTATGCTCGAATTATCTAGCTTATTCCATTCAACTATATACAATTGGGCAACACTAATAACAGTCAGTGTGAAATCTTGGCACACGTAAATATCCACAGTCTTTTAGCCTTGTATGATGTTCATAAACATTATGATTAATTATTAAGCCTACCTGAAGGTAAGAAGGTGCTAAGTTTTGAACGCATTTATATAACATTATAACGCGACTTAACTCAAACCGTTTGTCTTATGTTATCCCGTTAAGACTTGTGAACAAATCAGCCGACAGTGTGTCATATTAATTTTATGTATTGTTCAATATTATTCTTGCGGCCCTCTTCTGATTTTTTTGCAGCTTCGTTGTAAGGAAATGAAATCTGTTCGACCATACAACAGCGTATAGTAATCAAATCGTGGCAACACTAGTCTGTTATAAAGTAACTTTAAAGATTGTTTAGGCAAAAAACTCTTTGCTCACTTTATTATGCCAATGCATTGTGTCGATGTCACGTTTTTCCAATTTTTCACCGATTTTGAATGTAATTATTTCCTATTTCAATGTCATGCAGCTCTTGATGTCTTTATATACATGATTTTGATTGGACGAAATGAAATTGAACTGAATTGAATTGAGTCACGTTCCGTCATAAGCTTAACAATTAAATCTCGTTAGATATCCATGGACATGCATTTTTCTTATCCGCTGTTTACATACTGGTATGTGCTTGTTGATTATATTAATGAATAGAGTCAGCCACATATACCAAGCAACATCAACATTATCTATATCTTTTATATTAAAGGAGTACTTCTCCATTCACTGTAAAATTTCTCCTCGTCGAGATTTTTAAACGAGCGAAATTCTGCATATTCAGTTTTTGTATTGATTTTTGCACTGAAATCGCCCATCGTATAGACCAAATAATGATCTTTTATGCTAGTTTCAAACATTACCCACTCATTGTAAAGTTCTTTATCTGATAATATCAAATCAATTAAAGTAGAAGAGGTATTTGTACCTCTTGTGGCAGTATCATTAGCTGACTTAGCCCGGGCGTACATATTTGTATAAAACATTATCTTTGCAGCATTCACAATATGTTGGTGTGGTAAACAATCACAATTGAAATCACGTAATATAATACAGCTCATAGCTTCCGAAAGAGCAGAGTCCAAAAGTTCCGACTAATTCTTTAAAGAAATCAACGTGAGAATTTGGAGGCCTGTAAAACTGCCCAACCAGGATGGGAGACTTAATATTTGAATGATGCAATTCAAACCAAAGGCATTCTAAAGTAGATGAAAAGAAGTCATCCCTTCTTTTATAATTGAACCTCTTAGATATACTCTGTTGGTCATAATGGTGGAATAATTATTTTTACCCCAATTTATTGATTGATTTGGACAATGATTTATTCCTAATAGATCTAGATAATAGTATGCATTCTCAGATTTTGTTGAATGACAATTAGGGAGTGTTTGTTTTGCGTGACTGCTAAAGCATGTGTGTGCTACAACTAGGGGACCTACGTCACTAAGTCATAACTGACAGTAATGGGGATTAATACATCATAAAAGGGCACTAATATAGCACATTGACACGGTTTTGATCCTGGGGGCTCACAGTAACGAGGCCATTGCTTAGCCAATGAATCATGACTGTACGCAGCGGGCGCTAGGGTACGTCGACGCCCCCACAAAAACCAAAAAACAAAGAAAATGCAATAATTTTCCAATAATTCATTGCATTTTGCCCCAACCCCCAACCTTAAAAAATCCTCTATGTGGGCATGCCTTGAACCATAATGCATGGCCCTACAGAGGAATTTTTCCTGTTGGGGACTGGGGGGAAAATGCAATGAATTATTGAAAATTATTGCATTTTCTTTTTTTTTTTTTTTTTTTTTTGTGGGGGCGTCGACGTATCCTAGCGCCCGCTGCGTACAGTCATGATTCATTGGTTTAGCAATGGCCTCGTTACTGTGAGCCCCCAGGATCAAAACCGTGTCGATGTGCTATATTAGTGCCCTTTTATAAGGCATTAATCCCCAATACTGTCAGTTATGACTTAAGGACGTATAGGTCCCTTAGTTGATTAGCATAGTAGCACATACATGCTTTAGCAGTCACGCAAAACAAACACTCCCCAATTGTTATTCAATAAAGTCTGAGAATGTATACTATTATCTAGATTCAATAGGAATAAATCATTGTCAAAATCATTCAATAAATTAGGGTAAAATATTTATTCCACCATTATGACCAACAGTGTATATACAGCCACACCACCACCATGTCTTGTACGGTCTCTACGTAATAAAATATAATCATCTATAATTATGTACAATTCAGAATCATCAATCTTAGCAACTAAGCTATGAATATTCAAATGAGCAAATTTTAAACCCCCGTTTCTATACGGAGGAACTGAGCCACCTTCTAAGTATGTATGTTATTACCAAGGGCGTATCGAGTGAGGGGGGGGGGGGGGGGGTTTTGAGCCAAAACAAAAAAACAAGAATACTTGCCGGGGGGGGGAGGTATACGTTAAATGTTATTTTTGCATATTTCCTATTTAATCACGTTGATATTTTCAAACCTTTAACGCAATTTGATTACTGTTTTTGTCATTATTCTTTTTCTTGCCACAACTGGCACTGTACAAAGCACTAGTAATATAAGCTGTCATTTGTATACCAGATCATGACAAATCATGTCTGCGGACGTTGTTTGCTTTAGCCGGCATGGCAGGGAGAATCAAAAGCTCTACTCTTCTATTTGAAGCTTTGTTCAGTATAGTTGTTGATTTATTGCGGTGCATTAATTATATTACTCATTAAAAGACAGATATATGTTTCAGTTCATGTTGTAGTGTCGTTCATGATTTATGGTGCATCGTTTATATCTGTGAGTGTGTCCGATATCCTCGTAAAAAGCTGTAAATATGAGTTCAAGATCTATCAAAATGATTGTACTCTTCATAGAGAAAAGGTAAAGAAACAATTTATAGAACCAGCGCTTAAAGGGGAAGTCCGCCTTGGTAATATGTTTTTTTAATATAAGGAGAAAAATTGAAAGAACTGATCAGTGAAGGTTGGTGAAAAATCGGATTAAAGCTTATCTGCCGTAGTTTATAGAAGGGATTAGACTGCCCTGCAAGGTCACTGGACAGGACATCTCATCAACTCAGCTCTCAGTTAACATAAGAAAAGAGGATCATGGGGGACCAATGGTCACCGATTAGTCATTGTTTGTTATATAGAGGGCGCAAGTAGCTACAAGTAGTGCAGTGGGCCTTTAAAAAAAAAGTTATTGATTTTTTTAAATCCATACAAATTGGCAACGCGGTCTCTGAATATGATGTGCACCCTCTCACATTTGATCATTATTTTGTCATTAAATTCCATTTGATTCTTCATGCCTATCTCGATCATATATGACGGATAACCTGTTCTTTCATTCACACCAATGTAAGTTTACTATTCCATTAACATTCAGAAGAAATGGAGATTTTTGGTGATTCTGTCATTCAGATCAGTGGTGAATTGTGAAGGGATGACATTACAATCGTTTGACCTCATTGCCAATTTTTCAGAAAGATTTCATGATGTTAATGATTTTGAAAGGTTCATAACTTTCTTGTTTGTTATCCGATTTTATTTCTTCAAACTTTCACTGAATTGTTTCTCAAATTGTTCTGCTTCTATATTAAAACCTTTTTTTATATCGGGGTAGACTTTCCCTTTTAAACAAAATGAAGGATAATTATGTATTTTCCTCCATTAGCTTAATTTGCTTATAGTTATAGTTCGTTTACTTTTTTTGAAAAGTGGGTATTAGGGTTCGGTCGAGAGAGTTTATTAACATTTTCAGATGAGAGACCATCAACTACATACATTTCTTTATTTAAAAAAAAAAAAAAAAAAGTATTCAAAATAATACTAAAAGATAGTAAAAACAAAATGTTGATACATGTAATAGATATATTTGTTTTGTTCCTGCCCAGGTTAGTAACATGGTGTTTTGTACAAGCCTAGTTTTATGCATTTAACATACATTTTCTATTCTCACGCGAGCTAAAAGCGACACTGAAGTGATGACATTTCTGCCCTGGCTTACCGTTTCAAGGAGATTCGATCAAAGAGTGCTATGTCCTTCGAAGGGACGTACGTTTATTGCACAGCGCCATCTCATGGTCAACTTGCCAACTTCGCAGACAGCATTTTGTTTTCTTCTTCTTTCACCATGCTCTCACCCACTGGCGAACTGATGGAAGGGTGGGGGTGCAGTTACCCCCCCCCCCCCCCCCCCCCCAAAAAAAAAAAAAAAAAAAAAAAAAACTGTAAACGTGTTTGTTTTTTTCTAATTCGATACCAGTGATTAACAAAATGTTGATGAAATGACATGATTTTCCAAGATTTTTTTTCTCACTTTTTGGGTAAATTGTTCTTTTTTATGCGTTTGTTTGAAAATCCATTAAAAGGCAAACGATATTTATTTAGAAGCCTAAGAGTCAGAGCCCGCGAAACGGCGGAGCTCCGTGGGGCTCAAGCCCACACCCACCCCTTTGAAAAATAAGGTTAAAGAGAAATATAAAGAAAGTAAGAATAGTGATCTGCCAGTGTCATAAAATGAGGTATCAAAATTTGCTTATACAACCATAATTAAATGTCTACAAAACCTAAGCTTGCGGGGCCCCGCCCTCTGGACCTCACGCTATTTAGTAACCAGCCAGTGTCACAAATAAACTATCAAAATATGCTCATCTGACCATAATTAATGCCTTAAACCCATGCCTTCCAGGGGCTCTACCCCCTGGACCCCAAAGTGGGCCCCTGAATGTTCCTCAGACCATAAAGCCCCTGTGCCTCACGCCAAGTTACGCTCCACTCCCTTCACTTTACCTGATCGTAAATAGTATTCCCCCCCCCCGCCCACTTTTAAAAACTTTCAGCGTGGCCTGCATATGTAAGAGTATGGTGGCAATGCAAAAAAAATCTCCCCCCCCCCCCCCTTATGCTCATTACGCCACTGCTCTGACCCTATGTCTCTAATTGTATACCTCTTCCCTTATCTGTCTTGGCATCACCACCTCTTTCCTTTTCCCTCCTCTCTCTGTACCGTCTTTAATTCTGCCGTTCTTCTCCCCCTTCCCCTCTCTCCATCTGTGCCCTCTCTCGTTCTTCTCCCCCCCCCCAATTCTCTCTCTTTCTACCCCCCTTGCCATCGCTCTCAAATTGATACCCCTCTCCTCTTTCTTCTCTTCCGCCCCCTCTCTTTCTCTCAGACATACATACGCATGTACATTGTACCTACCCATAGACAGGTACAAAACCACCCAAATCAAGCACATACTAAATCACTCAGTATTTCTTCTATAATCTCAACCGATTCTTTTACTTGGTTTTCTTCTACATAACTCTTCCCCGTTACAACAAGAAAAGAAGAATATACAGAGGTTTTACTATTAGATAAAAGAAATTTCTTTCTTGCAATTTAATTAAAATTATCATGGATCTGTTTCTGGAATCTAGAAACAGCCCCATTCCAGGTTAGTTATAGCTTTCTCATCCAATCACCTTAGCCGCAACTAAAATCATAAAAAATATAATTGTTACATATCGACCATCACAATTCTCTTACTAGTTTTTAAGAAGAAAAAAAAGATAGTTTATCAGACATGCTAAATATGATTAAAAATAGCGCATGACAATAACAAAATTATGACCTTATACGCTGGTATGCAAACCACACGAGTATGATATAAATTGTTAAAAAAGTAGCATGTCTATCGATGCGCATGTTACTCAGGAATCATGATTGGTCTCTCCCATCATCTTGGTGTACATGTCCTATTTGATGATCATTGATATCTGAAAGTGGTGTGACCAAAGGACCATGTCTGGTCCCTCATTTATTCTTTCGTGGGTGCATCTTGTTGTGCACTGCCTGTTGTATAATCGCTGTGCTTTTATCAACCTCTGAATATGGTGTGACCCAAGGATCATGTCTGGCCACTCATTTATTCATTTGTGGATACTGTATGTTGCTGTGCATTGCCTGTTGTATAATCGCTGTGCTTTTATCGACCTCTGAATATGGTGTGACTCAAGGATCATGTCAGGTCTCTCATTTATTCATTTGTGGATACATGTTGCTGTGCATTGCCTGTTGTATAATCGCTGTGCTTCGTTCAACCTCTGAATATGGTGTGACCCACGGATCAGGTCTTGTCCCTTGTTTATTTATTCACAGTCACATTTTGTCATGTTGTCTGCCTTGGGTGATTACTGTTCTTGTATTGATCTCCGGAAGTGGTGTGACCCAAGGCTCATGTCAGGTCCCTCGTTTATTTATTCTGTCACATCTTGTTGTGTTGCCTGTCCTGGGTGAATACTGTTCTTTGATTGATCTATGTCTGGTCCTTTGCTTCATCATTCATGGTTACGTCTTGTTGTGTTGGCTGTTGTGTTGGCTGTTGAGTTATCATTGCTCTCTTCTTGGGTTGTATGTATGAACCCATACCCGCTGCGGCTTCAGCTTCTTTCTGTGTGTATGGTTCCATCTCTAGGGCCTTCAATCTGGGTTCGGAGGGAAAATGAAAAAGCGACAGAAAATCAAAAGATGCATACATATAGACATTCATTAAAACTTATCTGTAATAGTGTACAGGAGGGATTAGACCAAACTGCAAGGTGGTTATCTCATCAAATCAGCTCTCACTTAACATAAGAAAAAGAGGATCATGGGGGACCAATGGTCACTGATTAGGTATCGTTTGTTATATAGAGGGCGCAAGTACCTATAAGTAGTGCAGGGGGACTTCAAATAATCAAAAGTAAATTCTATTGACAGACACCCGGGGGGGGGGGGGGGTTCACAAATAATAAGGGAATAGGAAATAAGAATGATTTGAATTGACTTTCCATACCTCTTAAAATAAATTTTACAAAAAAAAATTCAAAGATGCTTACAGCTTTCCATGATTGATAAATCCAGTTTAGAGATAAGTTCAACTTAGGATCTTTGTGAAACAGCCCCCAGGTGTCCGAGGAAAACAAACCTTTACAGATAGGGGAACTTTCTATACAGGTGGTTCCTAGTTTCACTGTAGATACATGTACATGTACATGTACTATAATGTACACATATACAGGTACATGTACGTAGTTTGAAACAATTGTACTCTAATGGCAAGAGGCATGCGTCAGTCAGTTTACAGGTCATACTCAAATTCATCACTCAAATTCTGTCATATACAAATCTTGCAGTAAAATGCCCGATGTGAAATCTGAGCAAAAGAAAATGTAGGCGACACAGAGTCTCTGACACATTTCTGAGAACTAGACTTGACTTCTTGCAAAAACATCTGATAATCTGCATCTTTGATTCTTGATATGTCCTTAGACAAGGGGCAGCACCTTGTATCCTTCGGAAACTGCACTATCAAAACAGAATTATTTTTCACTATTATTACTACATCATGTATCTTCATGAACACCACTTGATTTTTTAAAGAAAAACAAGAAGACAAAGACAAAAAAAAAAAAGATTCTCTTCCTTCTAGGCTAGGAATATTGTGTCATTTTTTAGGTAAACGTCAAACAAATTGCAATAGAATTTTTTTCACCGGAATGCATTTCAGTAAGGTCCCCAAAATGACATACTAAAAGTCCAAACAAATCCAAGTAGTGGAAGTGTGCCTAATTTGCATAAATCCAAAATGGCCGCTTTTTCGAAGATTTTCACCGATATCGAGTTGCATTTCTTATCATAGGTAATTGTTTTGGCACTTTAAAGCACACATTTCACATTTATATGAATGTAATATGGTGTATATATCATATACAGAAGTACATCTTGTTTAATTGTGCATCGCAGCATTCATAAATCCAAAATGGCCGCCAATATACTAAGATTTACACATAGGTTTTGTCATATGTTTCAACTTGTAGAGCTGTTGAGGCACTAATAGAGTTGGAAAAGTAATCTGCTGTACATTTGTAATCAACTAAAATACCCATATGCTACATGTACATCACACACCTCAAACAAACCCCTTCGCACACTCACACCCACACCCACACCCACACAGTCTAACATGTAATTTATGTTCAGTTTATCCCCTTTGCAGATTATATTATTTCATTATGCATGCACTAGACTATAACTAGACTGTATTAAATAAAAACAAAAATAAAATATTCAGAAAACTAGCCCTTATGAGTATCCGACAAACACAAGAGCTGTTGGTAGGGCTACATGTACATGTATGTATAGGGGAGAGGCTTTACCTAGCCGCATGGTCGTTGGATTGGTTAGAAGTTGTTCACAGTGCAACAGTTTACTTTGGAGAGGTGAGAAACTTTCTCGATAGCTACAAAGGCAAGCCTACACACGTGCCTACAGCAATATGACGGGGGCTGTAGTTGCTGTAGCAGGGATTGACATGGACATAAACCATTTCAGAGGAACACATTATGAGTCTGATAAACGGTAAATTTAGCTATTTTATTAGATTTAGGCCAGCTATAGCCGTAGAAGATGTAAGGACTAAGGATTGCTCCAATGCTAGCGCTGGCCGGCCGGCTAGCGATGGCGCTAGCTTCATGGCCTTATTAGTCTTAGCGGCGGCATTGGATAGCCCTGTTGGGCCCTTCAAATGTGTTTGACAGAAAAGTATGGTGGATTTGAGATCTAGATCAGAGGGTCTTGACTAGGCTGCCTTACTAATATTTCAGTGTCAGTTGGTCAAGCCCCAAAACAATTATGTGAGCATCGTTCCTCTCCCATACACTCTCCCATACGTTTTGTGTATAATTTTAAGAATATTATTATTCTAGTCAAATGTCAGAAAGAATTTAGTGTCACTGAATTGCTCTTGTGATTTTTTTAGTTTCTGCATAAATGACCAATATATTGTGTTACTATCTGTTTCAATTGTATGCAGGTCCCAACTGTAGAATAGACATGTTACATCTATATAGAATAGAAACCCTCATTTCAACTTGGGACATCCTTCAAATAGAAATGCAGGATAGGAGTCACCCTTCAACTGTAGAAGTCAAGCTTCCACCAGAGCAGTATTAGATACCGTTCAACTAGATAGAATGGACATTATTACTCCAAATGAATAAAGGACAATATACACCATCTAACTGTAGAATAGATACCTGCCAAGTTTAGAATAGGCACACTCCTCCAGAGCCCCGTTCAACAATGGAGTATAGACTTTTTCCAAGTGTACAGTATTCACAGCTGAAGTTTTATTGATCTTAACTGTATATTAGATGTCATATCATTTGCCTTATATTAAGCATTTACACCATGGAGTGCTGTTGTTTTTGCAATAAATCATTGAGTGATGGAGGGCCTACAGTTGAGCTAGGAGCTAAAGGCAGTGATGGAGTGAATCGTGCAAGCAAACAACGTGAAAGCAATATAAATGTACATCCTGGACAAGTTGTACATGTGAAATGCCGTCGAAACTACTGTGAACCAAATAGAATCGCAAAGGAGGTAGCATCAAAACATGTTAAAGTTGAAGAAGAACGTATAGGACTTCGTTCACTCCAACCACCCTTCGATTTCAGAAAGCACTGTATATTCTGTGGACAACCTGCTAAGTATGATGGGAAAAGGCGAGGATTTGACGTTTTCCCTGTCAGAACCAAAGAATTCCAGGACTCTGTTACACAGATATGCATACAAAGAAATGATACTTGGTCCCAAATTGTGTCTGGAAGACTTGCATCTATCAATGATCTTCCCGCAGCTGATGCTATATACCATAAACAATGCATGGTGAACTTTAAAACTGACAAACAAATACCAAAGGTATACTCTGTGAGCACAAGCACTTCCAAAAAGGCTAAAACTGGCCGACCTAAAGAGGAGGTGAAATTGACTGCATTCTTAAAAGTAGTTGAGTTCCTGGAGGAAAATGATGAGGAACAAACAACAGTAGTTGATCTCGTTACTAAGATGCAACAGTATTTACTGGATACAGATCACGAGGCCTACAGTGTGGTATACATGAAAAACAAAATACAGGGGCACTTTGGTGAGAGAATCGTTATAACTGAACTGAACGGAAAGCATGATGTAGTTACATTTTGTAGCACAGTTAGTGCTATTCTGTATGAATTCCACAAGCAGCCAAAGGACAACACACCAGAGCAGGAGAAAATGAGGATTATAAAGACTGCTGCCTCGCTCATAAAGAATGACGTCAAGTTAAAGAAAATTGCAAGTGACGTTTACCCAACTCCTGCTGAAATGTCGTCTACCACTGCTGCACTTGCATTTCTCCCTGATTCCCTGCAATTGCTATTAAGGAACATGTTTGTTGGCAAAAAGGTAGATGTGAAACTGGCGTCTATTGGGCAAGCCATAATGCACGCAATACGGCCAAGGGTTCTCCTTGCTCCTCTCCAGCTTGGACTTGGAATACAAATGCATCATCAATTCTCGTCTCGCTTTCTGATCGACACACTGCATGCGCAATGCTTCTCCTGCTCTTATCAAGAGGTTAAGAAATATGAAAGAAGTGCAGCAGTTTCTCAAGGAACTGAACTACCAGGCTATGAACCAGGAGAGTGCATTCAGTATATTGCAGACAATGTCGACCATAATATCGACACTCTTGATGGATCAGGTACTTTCCACGGAATGGGCATCATGGCTACCAAAACCCCAGGGACAAAGTGCTGTAAGCCTGTACCTAGAGAAACGGTAACCGCTGAGGACATCGCTGCTGTTGGACGCATCAACATTGAATATTTCAAAGCATCTACAACTGTACAACCTCTGGTCTACCAGCCGATTGTGAATTGGGGAACAGAAGATCCAACATCAAACCTTGATGTGTTGTGGAAGACATCTTTACTCCTGCGGTCCCCAAGGCCTTCTTGGTCCGGAACGATGCAGATGGTAAACAAGGGCAACTACCCTGGACAGTCATCTGTTATGTTTCTCCCCATGATTGACATGAATCCTAGTGATCCATCTTGTGTCTACTCCACTCTGCGTTTTGTCTGTGCCCATGCTAAACAGTATAATACTACACCTGTTCTGACTTTTGATCAGTCGCTTTGGTGGAAGGCACTCACAATAATCAGGAGCCAGCCAAGTGACAGTGACTTGAAGCAGATCGTTCTGAGACTTGGAGGATTGCACACTGAAATGAGCTTCCTGGGAAGTATAGGGCATTTGATGACCTTCTTGAAGTAGTGTATGCCAGCAACTCGGTGAGCCATATGCTGGGTGGAAAAGCAATTTCTAGAGCTGTGCGGGGCCATTTCCTCGTTGATGCTGCGCTAAATACCATGCTGATAGCAGACTTGTATAACGTACAACTGCCAACTAACGAGGAGAAACCTCCGGAAGTTCCTAGTGAGCAGGATCAACACCCAGGTGTTCCATGTGGAGTAGCTAACTTCGGGGAGCAGCCCACTGGAGTTCCCTCTGGAACAACTACCAACGACCAGCAACTTCCTGATCTTCATTGTGATGTAGCAATTGAAGAAGAGCAGATTCCTGAAACCAATTGTGATGCAGCACATGTAGAACAGCAACCTTCAGAAGAGGTGCATGGAGTAGCACGTGGGGGAGACCATTCTTCTGAAGTTCAGTTTCCTTGTGGCACAGACGTAAATGAACCTGCAACAGATACCATGAAGGAACAAGATATCAAAGAAACAGATTTGGGAGAAGCACAAAAACTGTATGATAGACTCTTGTCTGCCACAGCATTGGTGGGTGAAATTTGTTCCTCTGAAGTCATTGACCAAATTCTTGGGCAAATAAAGGCCAAGAAGGAGACCTTGACCACGCGAACAGCAGTTCTCTGGTTGCAGTATATGGACATGATAGACATTTTGCGCAAGTTTATCAAAGCTGAGAGAACAGGAAACTGGGAGCTTCATCTGCAGGCTATCCATGACATGCTACCATATTTTGCCGCTTCTGGACACATCCTGTATGCTAAATCTGCCTATGTCTACTTGCAAATTATGCGTGAACTACCACACACACACCCTGAAGTCTACATGAGATTCCGAGAAGGGTATCACGTAGTAAGGAGAAGTGATCGCTACTGGGCAGGACTGTCTACCGATCTCATCATAGAACAGGTGTTAATGAGAAGTTTAAAGACAAGTGGTGGTCTTACAAGGGGCAGTGGTATGTCCGAAATCCAACGTACAGTTTGGCTTCTGTCAATGCCAATACGTGCAGAAGTAAACGCCGCAATGCAAGATCTTACTAATGCTTACCTCTTCACAAGTGAGCAACACAAAGATGTATCAAGTGCCAGACAGAGTAGGGATGTTAGCGACACGCTGGAAATACTGAACTACCTCAGCCAACGTAATCCATTCAGTCCAGACACTACTCTGCACAGTATAGCGAATGGAATGACTGCAGATGAAACTGTAAATGTAGACCAATCCAAAGACGTCGGTAACAAGATACTGAACTCCATGGCTGGAAAGAAAGTGGATGAACATTCATTCAAAAGAAGTGATCAAGCAGTGACATTAGGTGCAAGGACTGCTGTAAAGATCGGCGATGAATCTGTTCATGTAGACCCACAGCTCCTTTTCCAGAGACTGGTCATTGTCAGTAGGGAACGTGAAGATACTTTAGCATCAGTTTTCAGCTACGAGTTATGCAGTCACCCCCCTGCTCTGTTTGAATCATCATGTCTCCCCCTACAGGCCGACAAACCAGTCCTAGCAGATGCACTTTGGAAGGTGTTTGAACATGAGCTGACACGAGAGCAGACACTACCCAGTGGTGATGTTCATTATGTTTTGGATGGTGGTGCACTACTTCACCGTTTTCCTTGGCCACGTGAGAGCACTTTCAACAACATATGCCAGCTATATGTCAATTATGTCAGCAGCAAATATGGAAGGCCAACGGTTGTTTTTGATGGCTATCAAGGCGGTCCGTCAACCAAGGACGCAACACATCTTAGACGATCAGGAGGTTGTCAAGGCCTGACTGTCAACTTTGCAGAGGACATGGTAATCAAATCCAAGAAAGACGAATTTCTTGCAAATGAAGTTAACAAGCAACGCTTCATAAACCTACTCAGTTCCAAGCTCGAAACGCATGGTTGCACTGTATCTCATGCAAGAGGAGATGCAGATCTCTTAATTGTTACTACAGCGGTAGAAGCAGCTCAGTTTAAAGACACAGTTCTTGTCGGGGATGATACAGACCTTCTCATCTTGCTGATCTACCACGCTGATCTGAATGCAAAGGACGTCTTCTTTGCACCTGAGCCCAAGGCAAACTCCAAGAAGAATCGAACATGGAATATCAAAAAGCTGAAGGAAACTCTAGGAAGTAGTGTGTGTGGCAACATTCTTTTTGTCCATGCGCTTCTGGGCTGCGACACAACGTCTCGCATATTTGGACTAGGGAAAGGCGTAGCACTGAAGAAAATCATGAAGAATGACGACTTCTGTGAGCTTGCCAAGGCATTTAGTCAGCCAGCATCAGACCTGAAGGAGACCATTATTACAGCCGGAGAGAAGGCACTTGTATGCCTGTATGGTGGTGACTCAACAGAAGATCTAGATTCTTTGAGGTACAGAAGATATTGCGTAAAGGTATCGTCAATGTCGTCTGCCTTAGAAGCAAAGACTTTGCCCCCAACTTCAGCAGCAGCAAAGTTCCATAGTCTGCGTGTGTACTATCAGATACTAGAATGGAAAGGAATGGCAGACAAACTGACACCGGTAGACTGGGGTTGGCAGGTCACGGATGGGAAGTATCTTCCAATACAAACTGATAAACCACCAGCACCCGCATCACTCCTTAAAGTCATCAGATGTGGATGCAAGAAAGACTGTGCAACCAAGAAATGCACGTGCCGGAAGTATGGCCTCCAATGTTCAACAGCCTGCACTGATTGTCGTGGCACTAGTTGCACCAACTCACCACCACCAGACCTAGAACTTGATGATACTACTGACCAGCGTGCCACATAAATGTATGTTTGTTGGAGACTTCCAATAAGAACTGAACTCAGATTTGTGAACCAATGTAGACATATGTTATAGCTACTCTGGAATGCATTGTAAGGTGAGAAACAAAACTAAACTGAATATGTATGTGTTTATGCAAACTAAAGAACCTAATTATGATATGTTTGAAATTTAAAAATATTTTTACAACATGAACAAGTGTTGTCGAAATTATTCTGATATTACATAGGACAAGAATTATAATTATAATCAATTCTCTAAAAAAATATAAAAAATGCCTGATTTGGCAGCCATTTTGAATTTATGCAAATTAGGACACTCAATTAGGCACCTGAAACTTTGCGCGAACATAAGCATTCTTGAAAATATCTTTTTAGACATTCAAAGTACACTAAAAGTATTTTTAAAGGTATGTAATGTGAAAATTTTGACCAAATCTAGGTGAAAACAGTAGAATTGGCGCCATTTTGGATTTATGCAAATTAGACACACTTCCACTACATGGATTTTTTTGGACTTTTAGTATGTCATTTTGGGGACCTTACTGAAATGCATTCCGGTGAAAAAAATTCTATTGCAATTTGTTTGACCTCAAAACACAATATTCCTAGCCTATTCATGCTTACCTCCGCTTGTGTGTTTTTTGGCGAAAGTGGGCCTTCATAGCACCCTCATCAACAAAGTATCTCCTGCAAAATAAAAACAAAATCAACATAATTAGATAGTTCACTAAACTTTATGATGTGTATTGTGAAACACTCCAGATTGATTCATCTTACAACCTTATGTATTACAAAAATATAATTTCTTATAAATCCAATATTGCTATTCAATTCTGACATGATTGACACAATACAGTATAGACCCTTATACATCTTTAAAATTTGAATTATTGATTTGAAATATATTTATATAATATGGACTGGCCTTGAGGGATATACCACATAATATTTCCCAAACTAGACTCATATTGCCCAGAGTCAAAGACGAGGGCAATATGGGTCTTGTGAGGGAAATATATGTGGTATCTCCCGAAAGTTAAGCCAGTCAATATTGTTATTATTATCTAAATCAGACATCTAGAGCAAATACATTCATGACAATCTCATAGAAGTGAACAAACTTTGTCAAACCAGCACTGTGCATCCAGCTGCTTAATTGACAAAATGTTTGATGCACTGCAAACAGTGTACCCAATTTGGTGTGATTATTACGTCACAATCGAGTGCGCGCAAAGTGCTCGTATGCATAATAGATGCGCAATGAAAATGACAAAATACAGCGTGGTGAATATGGTCTTATATTTCATGCTTTTTTAACACATAAAGTCCAATGGCTTTTTCATAAAAGGTAAATATGGTCTCATATTCCCTGATTAGCCCTTTTAGGATTACAAACGAGTGTAATATGATTTTGTAAAACCACTGCTCAGATGTCTGATACGGGTAATAATTGTCTATATTACTGCACTATAATATGATTCAACCAAGTATTTGAGTAATGTTGTACTTCTATTTTGCATAAATGTTAGACTCAAAGCATTCTATTTCTATGTAGACTAAGTCAGTGTGATTTTCATTTTGATTTGTAATGTCATGATTATGTAATTTTTAACAACTTAGACCCTAGATCTATAGACCTAGATCTAAGTAGTTATTGTTTTCTTGAAAATGTGACATACCAGTTTATAGAGATTGGGTATCTTTGACTCTGAGAACAATTAAAATTATTTCTTGGAGAGAGGTTTCCATTAAAGATTAACTTGAGTTCTGGTAATGCGATTGCATTGTGAAAGAAAAGGTGTGGAATGGATCAGAAAAGTTGATCATAGAAAAATCTATAGCATGTAAGTAATGGTGTGTAATGCAAGGTTCTGGAGTCATCAAAATCATCATAAATTTGGCAGAGTCTTGGTAAAGTAACAATAACTTACACAGAAAGATGTATATGGGACAACACACATGGTGTCGGGGATAGTAATACCCTGGGGGCCGTTTCTCGAAACCAACTCCATGACAGTCATATCTTTGTCGGCGACCTACGGAGATGTCATGAAGCGGATAAACCGTTTCACAAAGCCATGACAGACATGATATCGATATATCGCGATACGAGCAGCTCAAGAACATAGTCTTTGTCACTATCCATTTGATTTATCAAGAATAACCCAAAACAAGTTTTGGGGCTAAAATTGTTCAAAAAGAAATATATACATATAAATTCTCCTAAAATAAATAATAAATAGTGTCATTATCATATTTACATCATCAAACGATTTGCATATTTCTGTAAAGATTCTTAAATTGAAGAAAAACCGGTGAGTGTTTTTTTTTGACAGTCGAATCAAAAGTTAGTTGAAGGATACCGTAATGTGATAGTTTATCAATATGTACTTTTTTGTTTATTGTGACGAGGAATTTTAGGCAAAATGTCTTTTCTCAGCCAGTTAATCTAGAGTCTCATAAATACTCGTTATATAATTGATTTGATATTGAAAATATAATTTGGAAGAAGTAATTAGAGAGGGAAGGATAATGCACATAGGCCCCAAAGGTATGACGGTATCCTAAGAAAAGACTATGGATCGACTATGGAAAACGGTGCGTAACATTCTTAGTAGGGTGTCTGAACGATTTTTCAATTTTCAATTTGGGATCGTTTTTCACCATTTTTGTTTGATATTGGAGTAAAAAATGTAATCAGAATAATACCTTTCAAATTTCAAGACTCACCGATGTTTCTATCAAAAGATACAGCCCCTCAAAAACTGTGCAATATTCATAGCATTTTGGTCAGAATGGACAGAAAAGTGGTTCACGCAGAGTTATAATTTCTGCTCAAAAGCTGCACAGCTAATGCACAGCACGATATGCAAAGCGTGGAGCAAGGGTATTTTCAAACTGTTGTAACAAATGATCCCTTGGGACTAGAGAAAAAATAAGTGCATGGATATATTCTTTACAGCTGGCCCAACTTATCCCTCGGGGGGGGGGGGGGGGGGGGGGGCAGTTCGTGAAATTGGTAAATCTCCGAGTTACCATGGAAACAATGTTTAAATCGCTGTTTTGAGCAAGATATATTTAGAATTCCGGGGGTGGCCCCCTATGGGAAATATGGAGAAAAACCTGCTCTTTCATATGACACCACATTTATTGAGTTTCACCTTCAGGATCATTTGTTATAAAGGTTTGAATTTCAAATTTTTCATAAAATCATTGACCAATTTTGCTTGGTCGCGCAATGCATGTAGACCACATAGGGATGTGTGCAATCTCTATGGGAAAGATTTTAGCACACAACATCGGGTGCGCGATCAGACACCCTATTCTTACCTCTCTTATTTATAGTTAGGTATAGTTTAATGATTTGTGATTTAATGTTTATAATTATATTCAGCTTTTTAAAGTTTCTGTATAATTTGTATTTTCACTTTTGTACATTTGCATTTCGCATCCCAGAGAATTACGTACCGAACTCGTCTATATTTTTCTCAAAATGATAGTGAAACTAATCGTCCATTTCGCGGCCCATGGAATGGCAACAAACTGACTTATGATGGCGCTATACAGCAATTAAAAAGATGTGACAGGTTCGGAGCAGTGACAACTCGCTTGTCGCGGGAGTTCGAGTTGTCGCTTATCTTGGCAAAGACGGCTTTGTGAAACACTTAGCTGACAAGTTGCGTGACAGTGGTGAGATGTCGTTGATCTTGTAGTTATGACAGTTTCGAGAAACAGCCCCCTGATCTCCTTATCTTTCTATGCACATTACTCAGCCAGTATACATTTTCTTCCAAAATTATTTGGCACATGACATTTATTTGTAATCTTGACATTCAGTGTAAGTTTCGTTAGATTCCGTAAGAATTCATTTTCTTTTTTTAACCAGAACTCAAGTTTATCTTTAACTAGTATTACTCACGCGCAATGTAGGCAGTAATGTTGTGCTGAACCGGGTTTGTCAAAATCTACTTTTTGATGGAGCAATTTAGCGGCATGTTGGGGTTTCAAATCTTCGTCGATTTCGTCCAAGTCCTTCGTTTTCCTTTTCGTTCGGTACTTCTTCTTGATGTGTGTGTAGCCTTTGTGATGTCTTTTCCGGGCTTGTCGAGTCATTTTCGACTTATTATCACTCCCGCTTTAAAGAAGAAGAATGTTAACTTGAAGTTCTTAACTGAACAAAATAAACTAACTTCGATGCACGTGTAAGGGACTGTGATGAAGGCAACTGCGCATGCATTAGTCACGGGGGAAATGAAGGTAGCGTAACCTATCCATTGTAAACCAAAATGTGAAGTTGCCAATTTGATGAACGTACAAATGGGATTTCTACACAACACGTGATGTAGTCATCGAAATCCAAGTGTTGGATGTAGTACAGTCTTTACTCGATCAATGCGTTGTACCAGGGAGACGGGAGGGGCATACGATTGTATAGCAGGCGAATTGTTTCGTTAATGTGTGCATATATATGTTTAGTTGCTGTCTCATGGTAAAAGTAATTATGCACAGGATAAGGACAGTGGCAACACTTCCGGTGGGGGGGGGGGGGCGTCCAGGACACAGTGACCCATTTTTTCAAGTAGCCCCCAAAGTGCCTCTTTTTACATAGGAAAAGTACACACTTTGTACTTCTAATAGGTTCCACCTCTACCACTGATAATTGCCCCTATTCAAATCTGAGAGGCGCCCTAAGCTTTTTTTTCTTAATCGTATACCCCTTTTTATTTTTAACGTACCCCTTTTTCTTTATAACAAGATCCCCTCTTCCTCGTGATAAGGGCCTTCATTTAATAATAAAATGAGCCATATTTCCCCTTTCTCATAAATTCCCCTTTTCGCAAATACCCCTATTAAAAACTGCCCCTTTTTCTCTGACAAGTGCCATTTTCCTAAATGCAAAAGGTGAACCTTTTCCATTCCCATAAGTGCCTCTTAATTTCCATCTTTGGTAAGTGACCCTTTTTATGTAAGAGAAGATTGAGCATTTTTTACTTCTAAATATTGCAATTTTTACTTTGACACATATCCTTTTAATATGATAAGTGCCAACTTTTCCTTAGCTTTCTCCATAACATAATTTAAAGTAATGGTGCTGTTGAAATGTTTTAAACCAAAGTAAAGAAAAAAATGCTTTCTCTTACTTAATAATTAATTTTTCTTGACTTTCTTTGGTCAAAATCACCCATAAATTACCAAGGTTGAATTTTTCCCAAAAATCACAACATTTTCGATTGTTACCGAGTTCAATAGATGGCAACACCCATCTCTCTTGTATCCTTCCTCCGCTCAGGTCGGAGATCGTCGGCACTGTGAGTCTGCCGAAGTTACATAAATGGCTTTCTATAGGTCGTTAAGTAGATTTTGACGGGTTGTGTGAAGGTTGCGTATAAAATAAAGGATAAGGGTATGCAGCTGTGTTTTGGCACTACTGCTGATGTGCCCAGCAGGGAGAAATAGCACTGACTCCAAGAACAGCGCAGGCGCAGACTCGAAATATTGAGCAAACTGCTTTGTGTTGAGGTTATCCTTAATACGATTAATAAGGTCTTGACGCACAGATGATAGCCCAGATAACAATACGACGTTACGCCAACGTGGGGCCAACGTAAGCTGTTACGTTGGTCCAACGTCGCCAACATGATGTTGGGCCCACGGCTTTCTTGCCGGTGGGCCAACGTTGGCCCGACAGTGACAAAATGACATTAAGCCAACATCGGGCCAACGTTATGCCGACCCCTATCCGACCATATGTGCCGATGTCCTCCCGACATTGAACCAACGTTATGCCAACCTCTTTTCCACCGTATGCCGACGTCTTTCCGACATTGGACCAACGTCGTCCCAACCCTTTTTTAACCATGTGCCGACGTACGACCAACGTTATGCCAACCCCTATCCCACCATGTGCCGACGTTGTTCCGACATTGGATAAACGTTATGCCAACCCTTATCCCACCATGTGCCGACGTCTCCTCGACATTGGCCCAACGTTATACCAACCCCTTTTCAACCATGTGCCGACGTCTCCACGACGTAGGGCCAACGTTATTCCAACCCCTATCCAACCATTTGCCGACGTAGTTCCGACATTGGACCAACGTTATGCCAACCCCTATCCCACCATGTGCCGACGTCGTGGGCTGTTACGTTGCGCCATCGTCGTCAATGTGATGTTGGGCCAACGGCTTTCTTGCCGGCGGGCCAACGTTGGCTCGACAGCGACGAAATGACATTAAGCCAACATCGGGCCAACGTCCCCCCGACGTATGACCAACGTCATGTCAACCCCTATCCCACCATATGCCGACATAGGACAAACGTAATGCCAACCCCTTTTCCACCATGTGCCGACGTCTCCCTGACGTAGGACCAACGTAATGCCAACCCCTTTTACACTATGTGCCGACGTCTCCCTGACGTTGTCCTAACATAATGCCAACCCTTTTCCCACCAAGTGACGACCCCTCCTCCACCATGTGCCAATGCTAGACCAACGTTATGCCAACCTCTTCTCCACCATTTGCCGACGTAGAAGCAACGTTATGCCAACCCGTATCCCACCATGTGCCGACGTTGTACCTCCCCTTTCCAGTTCATGCCAACATTCTTCTGACATTACCAACACCAACTCAAAAACATATTCACACCAACATCAGTCGTCCGTTCATAAGAACATCGTCAAGATCATACTACATCGGACATGTACAATCATTCAAACACATGCATCACAACGTGACAAGGAAAAGCCAAGTAGTTTAAGATTGGATTAAATAAATAAACAGAGCAAAATCCACAAAATGAAGATAGTAACAATTTCATCAAAATTAGACTGAATTTGAGAAAAGTTCATTATAGAACTCGACTTAGATCCCTCTGGAAGATATGTATAATAACAATATTGAAGCAAGAGGGACATGTTATTTTAATTTCGTCATGTCTATTATCTTGTACATTTTAATCACTATCAAAACTTGAAAACAACTTATTTGTCCCATTTTAATGAAAAGTTCACCATCTTGCTTCTTAGAATTTGCTCTGAATACATCCCGCTCCCTCCAAAACAAAAGAACAAGGAAAATAAACTGATTTTGTGATAAAACATACTTTATTTTATGTGTAATAAACAAACTGTTGTAAATGTGAATACAATTATTGTACATCTTTCTTTTGTATTTTCGTTTGAATTCGAAAAAGATGTAAACATAGTTTCAAGTTTAAGGTATCTCAATGTGTCACAATATAGGCCTACTATCAATGAATGCTAGGACGATAGGAGCTGTTATAAAATGAATTGTCGCTTACACGTAACACAACATAACATACTGAAATTCATTGTACGAATATAATAAACAATCCTCACAACTTCCCGAGTAAAACAAAACAAACTTTCTGGCAGACGAACACGATTGCTTATGACAAGATTCCTCTACATATGTAAGCACAAAAATATAAAGAAATTAATAAAGTGTCCACCATTTGCATACCAAAAACTAGGCAATTAATGTAAACAATGTTCCATAAAAAATAAAAAATAAAATTCAGAGAAATTGCCAACATTTTTGATGCTTAGGCATTTCAGAGATGCTGATACATTTCGTCGCCATATCTAGCTATTATTATTATTATTATTGTTAACACATCTACAAACTGTTTTTTTTAGGAGGGATAGTATACATTGCTTGAATGTGTGAAGTAAAGCAATCGCTAAATGTTTATATAACAAGAGAGGAAATTTGAAAGTGAAGTAAGAAAGAGCAGAGCTTGTAAAGGGAAAAACACAAGTTTCTTCACTCTGATATACCACTTTCAATATTTCTTTAAATTGAGAAGAAGGTAGTACAAAAAACATTCAGTCACTTAGATATATGAAACATTTTTTTCTTACCTTTGAAATTCTTTATAGCATGCATTTAGTTGACACGTTATACAGGCATTCAAATCAATTACGACCTTCTTCGACTCATGGTATAGCTCTCTTTTTAAAATTGGGCCATTAGTGAAATTTCACCACAATAAATAACAAGTAAAGATGCATAGCACACTATTTAATAACAAAAGTTATTGTTTATGTTTGTGTACAAAACATAATGCCTGCAGAGCTGGCTAGCAAGCACCGTAGCTTGCCTAAGCGGAGATCGTTCTTGATATAACATCACTAATCCTTTGGTCAATCATTCCGAGGAACTCTGAGAATTGTAAGGGGCGGGGTCCACCATTAGACGAGCAACTTGGAGAGGTTTTCAAAAAATTGTAAAAAGTATAAGGAGGCATTTATTTATGAAACAATTGTTATTATGTTGCTTTAAAAGGGTCTTGATACAAGACATAAAAATTTTAATTTCCTAAGGCAATGGACCTTTAGAGAACGGGTTAGTCGGAATCAAAATCTTGTCTAGCTTGTGGTGGTACAACTTCGACATCTGCGGCAAAAAAAAGAAGAAGAAAGAAACCAAACAAGATTTAAAAGCAGATCATGGAAACATCACCTTGAAATAGTACGGATATTAATCAAATAGTACGGCATTCAAGGGAAGTAGTCCTGAGTGGCACATCCTCCCTAGTTTTGATGAAATTTCATGGATAGAAGTACTTTGTCATGAAAATAACTTCGTTCAAACTTTAAAGCGAATGACCCAGACGTATGGAAATTAGAAAGGAATGGATTTCTTTTATTTTTGTGTTGTTTAATTAGAATAGCATCAAACACTCTTCTTAACAAAGGAAATATACATTTGAGGTAATATGGCATTCTTCAATAGAAAGAACCAATTTATAGTATCTGTTTGCTCAGTTTTGAGATGCTTGATTGATAACAGTTTAAAGCCCCTCTTAAGTGTTGGATCCCAAAATTAGCCAAAGAATAGATGGCACAATCTCACTTAAATGGTATGATGTAAAAGAGGATGTCATTAACACCCGGACACTTCTGCAAATAGAATATTGCCCTAACAAATGTGTTTGAAGTAGAATATGGATGAAAGAATACACAATTTGCTTTTTCTGCATACAACACAAAACCCTTAGTTAGTAAGTTTGTATTCTTTCTAATTTTTAGGACAAATTTTTGAAGAAGAGTGGCATTTTCTTTCACATCATTATAACATTGAAGTGAAATGTGAAGCTCCCAATACTTTTTTTGGTATTTATGTAAGCTCCCAATACTTGAGAGAGCTCGAGGGGCTTCAAAGTAGAAACAAAAACACAAAGCTATATCGTTAGTTGCTTATACAAGAAACAAATCAATTGACTGTGTTTTGTTTTTTGTGGCACCCTGCATTCAGAATTGTTTCCCAAAAAATAC